CGGCAAGCGCTCCTACGTCACTTGCAACGCGCTGCGTGTGGCGAATATTACGGTATACGTCGTGCTAATACACGTAATTAAGTACAATTCTGAACAGACACGTTCATTTGAATAATGGGTTGTTACCACTGGCCAAGAACGGCCTGAAGTTCCATTCCTAGACAATGAAACTCGATAATTGCATGCTTTTCTTCTTTCAAAACAAGAAGCAAAAATCAAATAATAATTTGTGCCACTTTTACAAGTAAAGTTTGATTTTCAACAAAATAATTTGCTTTAATTGGATCGCTGGTTAGGAAGATACCTTTTCATTACGATAAATAAATAAAGATATTGTCTGGTATCAATACTTTTTATTCAGCTTATGATCGTTTCGATCGCGTAGCGATCATCCTCAGAGCTAAAATGTGAAGCTAATACTGTGAGCTAATACTCGTATTTCACGAAACGATCATAAGCTGAATAAAAAGTATTGATACCAGACAAAATCTTTATATATTTATCAAAATAATTTGCATAAAATTTGTAAAATTATAACAGGTAAGAATGTTTCAAAATTACTGATAATTAGAATAGTTTGTGAAAGTTTCGAAACTCAAATATTATGCTGACAAGGTGTAATCAAATTTTAAAATACCAAAAATAACACATCTCTGCATCTGTTTTGTTTGAAAATGTAAAAGAAATTTAAATTCCATTATCAACTTCGAAACGATCTTCGTGTATATTCTTTACTACGTAATTCAGGACTTAAATAAGTAATTAATAAATGAATAAACAAACAATAAACAAAGGATAATAAAAGCAAAAGTGTAACTTCAAAAGGGGTTTAAACTCTAACTTAGATATGTGCGATTTAATGTCTACCAATGTTATAGAGTAGACTGATTTATGCGTTCCAATTATACGTTTGTTTATTAGCATTTAAAAATGTTTTTAATTAGTACTACTATTTAACTATATGTGTATAATACTATTTTGCGTAAATGTTTTCACGTTATTGACCACCTATACTGTGAATTCCAGAAACCCAAAACAACTAAATCACCAAAGGGAAATAGAAGGTCCAGAAACCATTCATTTCTTAATTCACGGCCTATGAAAGATGTCTCAGGGTCTCTTTGGTTTCTAAAAAGCGTACACTCTATTTTCGAATTATGCACAATGACTGTTTTACGGATTTCGTTTGCGCAAACTGAATCCCCTTTTAGTAGAATACTCTTCGAAATTCTCTATTTTTCGTCTTAAATGTATTTTGATTCACCTCTGAGAAATAGTTCCCTGACCATCAAAGCACAAATTTGCGAAGTGGCAATTTTCTTCAGGAAGGGACGTAAACTGCTTTTTATTGAACGATTCCGAATAGCACAAAGAAACAACCGAGACCAACTACGTACAGTTGATCTTGGAAATGACGCAAAAGTCAACGTAACGAGCGCTTATCGGCCGCCATGCGTGAAAGCGCCTGAACTGCTCCTGGCGGTGTGTGCGTGCGCGGCGCGTGCGCAGTCCGTGCGTTTGCGCAGAGCGCCGCAGACGAGGCCAGCGCCGCCTCCGCGCCCACGCACCGGCGGACGCTCCCTCCACGGTTGCCACACTGCGCAGCGCGAACCCAGAAACAATTGCAATCATTTGCCTCGAAACTAAAAGAAAGATATTATTCCAAAACAGATAGAAAATTTCCTACAAAAATATCTTGTTGAATTTGTTTCGATATACAAGTCGTCTTGGTATGTGTACACGGAGGACAGGGCCCTTCATTTACACAAAACATTTTGGTGGACTGGAATCGTATCTAAAATTTCTTTTATCATAATATTGTCAACTGAATTCCGATCAGTTAATTAAAAAAATTAATCTAATTTTGTCAAAATTTGTGGATGAAATTACAATATTTCTGTCTTTATTCATTCTATCTTTCTTTTTTCTTTCATTGTACACCCTTAAAACTTTTGCGCGAGGGAACTGCGACTGAAATAGACGGACAAGTTCTACGGTAGATGAAAGTGTGTGTGTGTGTGTGTGTAAAAGAAGAGGAGGGGTCAAGGACGAGAATGGGAAGATCGCGCAGAGTGAGTGGCCCGTTTTTAGCAAACTGCTCTGGCATTCATTAATAACAAAATTGTTGAACAAACGGTCATCGTATTGATCTAAAAATCATTTGAAAACTATCAATCAGAGCAGCGGAATTAACCTATAAACACAGACTGCATTTTATTCATTAAGCACATTAGGGGGGGTGAAGGGTAAGGGGGATGCGACAAATATAAGGGCAGAAGGCGTGGTTGCGGACGATCTTCTGTGGCGCTGTTTGATTTCACGGTGCTGAGGAGGCAAGCACTGGAAGGAGACGGCGGCCGCCCGCGCCAGAAAATAAAATGCAAAATCAACGGTCGGATAGATAAGATGTATTCGGCTCTGAACGGCAAGGTTTTTCACTTCAGGGTTTTTTCTCTAGCCGTACCTTATGGTTCTTTTCGCGCGCTTTGCAATGCGATGGGAGAGCGCATTTGGGGTGAATACCAAATTCGAAAGATTCAGAAAGCGAAGGATGTAGGTATTGTAATTGGCTTAAAGGCCCCGATCGGGCCTAGCCACATAGGATCAAGTAAGCTAATTTGTCTGTAATAATTACCTATTAAATAAAATAATAAATAAATAAATAATTTTATTCCTGCCACTGTGCTAGTGTAATTCTGCTACAGAAAGCTCAGCGAGTGAGTGAAAACGTTGAATGATCCGAAGTTCATTTGGTCAAGAATTGTAAATAATAAGATAATACGTACGTTTTACTTGATTAATAAGCAAATATAAATAAGAATGAATGGTAATCAATAATTCAACAATATTAAATAAGAATACAGCCCCAAGAGAAAAAAAGCCTAGCTTAACAACATCAACATTTCTGTGTTTCAATTAATTATTTTGTTGCTTTCTTTTATGAGACAGTTAACAAGATGCTCGAGTAAATATATTTTTTTAAGTATAAGAAATTTTTGCAATTACTGATATTATTTTGAGTCCCACGCAAAAACTGTAACGTTTAACAAATCAGAATATAGACACATTATTGTTAAACGACAATTGGGAAAAGGCTTTCATGATGTTTGGCATCCATACCTTGAGGCTAGAGATTTTATTGTCTCTTACGTCATAATTGTCTCATTGGAAAGAAGGGACATTAATTGTTTAATGGCTTCTTAGATGGCGAACGTTTGTTATTTACATACGCTCTCCCGAGAAACCTCAATGACTTCCTGGATATTTATTTTGAGAAAATAACTGAGTTATTTATAACCAGCGAAGTTTCATAAAATAAAAAACAAAAAACAATATGGTGAAGAAGCGTCTGGCTTTATGTGATAGGTGAGCAAATTCAAGTTGATTTTTATTCATTGAAAATTATCATTATTTCTGATCAGTTTTTATTGTAGTTAATAATTCACTCGCCGTAGGAATATTAATTGTAAGTCTCGTAAAAACCTATTTGTAAAAAGTAGCAAGTTAGATAATTTTCACCAACAATATCGTAAAGATCAATTTGAAAAATAATATATCGTAAAGATCAATAGAAAATAAAAATTTATTTACATTTTTACTTATTTTAATTCTTTACATTGATAAATGTTATAATTAAGAGGATGGAAGATTTCTAACAGTAGTTCTCATTAAAAGTATAAGAAGTATACAAATAACAACACTGTCGTTAAAGGAAAATTAGTCACTTCATTCAGTTTCGAGCCGTAGTCCAATGTATAGAAGTATTTTCGTGTTTTATTTTCTACATGAGCTTTTTTCACTTTTCCAGCACATTTCACCCCAATATTATTGTGAGTCTATAAGCAAATTTCATGTTTAATTTATTCAAATAATATGTATGCTAAGGAGAACATCAGATTCTTAACATTTTTAAGACGTCTTCGACTCAAACTCCCGGAAGTTTGATATTCCTGGAAAGGAAATAACCGCCAATGTAACATTTAAGACAAAACACTTGACATTGTGTGGATTGTGCTGTGAAGAAATCATTCGGCGTGAATGCAATGTGCTTCACATACATCAAAATCGTTTCGTCCTAGGTCTCCAAACCTTACGAGGGAGAAAGCAATTTTTCTTATGCTTTGATGGACAAAGTGATATATTTTCTACTTTCTATTGTGAGTTTAGAGATTGGGCCATTCTGAGTATTTTCACTTCTTAAAACAATTTGTAAGAGTCGTGCAAAATTTATTCAGAATCATGTGTAAATGTTAAATCATGTTAAATTGACTGTTAGGTACTTTGTGCAATCAATCGCTCGGATCAAAGTACTTCTGATTTCATTAAACGTTTAGCAATATTTTAATATTTGTCCACGCTCAGTTTAGTGAGAAGAGGATAGTTCAACGTTGGTTTTCAGTATTAAGTTATTTTCACATTAAAAACAACAATTTACTAAGTCAAATATTCGCACGAAGACGCATCCCCTTTTATTGTGAGTTTTATGCAAATATTACATTTAATGTAATGTCGATAAGCCATAAAAATATTGAACTAGTACTGTTCCAACTTTCGTCACATTTGCGATCGTTCAATACTTGTCGAACTTCCTCATCGTGGAACACACAAAAATCACACCACCATTCCTGATAAAATTATTCTCGACAATGCTGCTGCTAGAAAGAAGTATTATTGAGATCACGATAACGGAAATATTCTTGATATCGCGGCCACAATGAGAATTTTTCTCGAGCACATGGGCGCAAAAATTTATTGACGGCATTGCCACCACCAGAGATAATTTTTCTCGACAACACGGCAACTACTGAGAATTACTCCAAAAAGCGCTGCCACCAACGATTAGTACTCTTGATATCAGGATCACCAGTGAGTAAAATATGGACATCGCGGGCACAAGCGAGAATTGTTCTCGACAACGCGACCTCCAGCGAGAAGTCCTCCCGACCGCGCAACCAAAGTAGCCTCGTCCGTGCGTTGGTCATGAGGTGACGTAGTCTCACCTTGCTGTTGGGCGTGGGCGCCGCCGGAGCACAAAAGCAACGCGGCGACGGTAGCGAGGGCGGCGGCGGCGGCGACTCGGCAGAGCATGATGGCGGCGGTGGCGGTGGCGGTGAAAGACTGAACTGGCGGCGCCGCGCCCGCGCCGCCTTATATGCTCTCCCACTCTGCGGGGGCCGGGCACGGCGACCGCCGCCGCCGCCACCGCCGCTGCCGGGGTTCGCCGTCTACCCGCGCGTTGGAGTCTCCGGCTTCGGGGAATCGCTTTTCGCGGCGCTTCGCGTTCCACGTCCGGGAGGCGCGCGGCCACGCGTCGCTGGTGCACGAGAAAAATGACACATCGATCCGGTACAGGCTGATATGACTCAGTGCTAGCATATCGTTGAATGTGCAGCATCGCAAACAGGGAGGACCTAGGATTCGAGTCCTGACAGCCGTCGCCTTTCGACCTAGGTGGCTAGGTCGACTGCAGATGCGGTCTGGAGAAGATATCTAACTGCCGACTACTATTATCGGTAGTGTTTTGTGGTCTCTAATCAATACCAGGTGAATGTCGAAGCAGTATCTATCCTAACAAACGGGTCAAGGACATCGAGGGATCTTTCCTTCCTTTTCCTTGTACTGTCCTCACCACTTACCATTCAGTTGCATCTACATGAACGCTGATTAGAATACCTGGAGAGGGAAATCCTGCAAGTTGGCGTGTAGGTGTACTCTGGATCTCACTCTATAGTTGTATAGGAGCACTGCCACATTTTGGAATAGAATATTCACAACACTAACGGAACTTATGACCGTAGCAGTCGACGAGCCCGGAAACATCAGCCAAACATTATTAATGAAGACATTTCTTTTTTTAAATAATAAGTATGCATGTATAAAAATGTCAAATCTGTTACCAATAACAGGCCGAATTTATGATCTTGATTATCAAAATCAAAAACCGTTCAGTCGTTTAATGGTTGCAATATTTGTACAATTTGAAAAATGAAATTTTGGAATAAAAGTGTTTAAAGACTTCTTTGGTGTTTGAAGTATTATATGCGTAACAATTTTTAATTATTCAATAAATAATACTGAACGACTTTATAGGAGATACGTTCAAACGATTAAGAAAAGTTGTAAAATAACAGTCGTAACACAAAATATATGTTTTTTTTTCTAGATTCCAGTGACGAATCCACATAACACGATGTGTTTTCCACTTTTACTTATTCAATTAACTGTGTCGTATTAGAGCCTATTAGAATCTATTAGAGCCAGCAAGCATGGCGAAGAATCGTGCAGCCCTCATCGACCAAAGTTTGTCGCCAGCGTACAAGTACTGGACAGTGTTTCTCTGCGAGACACGCAAACGCAAGTGAATTCGCGTTTGTTGGTGGTTTTAAACCGGTTCCTTTGCACAGACAGTTCTGTCTCTGAGAATCTTCTCTTCTCTGGCTTTGTTTGTTCGAATTGCTTTAACAACGCTATCGTTTTTGTTTTTCATCATTATTGTTTTCGCATTCGTTAGGTTCAGCTCACTTTGACCTTGACTTCTCTGTTAAAAATTCTTATATCTCATGTTGAACATTATTAATGTCAGGTTAAATATTATATTTTTGGGCACTCGTTTTCTTTGGATATTTGAGTACTAACATCATATTGAGTTCTTTCATTTTTATGTTCATGTACTGGCTATGATATATCAGCCTCAAGAAGGTCACCATAGCTTGGCTGACCGCGATATCCTAAGATTCCAGCCCCAGTTTTTAGGGATTTTCGTCACTAGATAATAGCCGCTGTCTGGAAGAGGCTGCCTTGATTGGTAATGTTTCGTGATTTCACCGATCCATTCTTGACAAAGAACGAAATACACAAACAAACGGGCCAGTGAATTCGCACAATACTCCCTTCCTCGCGCTTGTTCTCATCACATTTCCTCTTACATGCATTGCATGCATTACATGCACACTACCACACATCGGAAGACCAGTTGTTATCTCAACCCTGCGGGGCGATGCCCAGCTGGGGAGATACCTGTGGACGGAACACTACGCAAGTGTGAATTCCGCGCCGGAATGCGCCGGAATTCATGTTCTCGAGGGGAAGAGGAGAGGAGGAGGTTCTCGAGGGGTAGGAGTCTCCTGGCTATGACATATTCTCAGGACTAATTATCAAAATACTCGATGCGTTCAGAAATACGAAATACTAATTACAGGCACATAAATACATCTTCTTATATTGAGAGGTTTCCATATTTGATTGCTTCAAAGATGTACACGATGTGCCACAAAAACAAATGCTGTCTTGTTACGAAAATGCCTGCGCTGAGAGCAATATATACTCGATATATATAGTTATCCAAGAGAAATGTACCATAATATTAAACAAACAAGCATAGTATTCATTAGTTCAAGAGAACAAAATAATGTAGATATTTTAACATTCTTCTTTAGAAAGAATCTGGTGTCAATGAGAGGAAATAAAAAAGAAAAATAAAGACTCAATTTTGCGTAAAAATTAGAGTACGTTTGTCTACAGTTTAATTGGAAAATTAAGATTCAATGTAGTTATTACACGTGAGGATGTTGGACAATCTGTAATTAAGGGCTAAAAATGTTAGGCATTCAAGATAAAATATTAGACAAGATATTCAATAGCTTTCAATTCGCTTATCAAAGTCCATTACTTTGGTACCAAACCCATAAATATTATGAAGATGATGATGCATATGGGGGAGAAAATAATGTGGTTCTACAATACTTTGAAATATAACAATGTAACTGAAAAATATTAAAATGAGGGGGAAATTGTGAAATAACTGTAGAAGGAGGGGAGAATTCACAAATTGCATGGAGATTTATGAGAGCAATAATCATGTTAATTTTTTTAATAAAGCATTATTTAATTTAACTACAATTATTTTCATGTCAAAATAGTTACTTCATGAACATGTAATCCATACTCCTCATCTGCGTTTCTTATGTTAGAGCAGGTTTGAGAAGGGAAATAGTTTCAGAAGGGAAATAATATGCCACTTTATTGCCTCAAATTGTGCATACTGTGAAGTTATGATTTTAAGTTTCAAAAAGCATTCTGAACTAAATCCCTTTAAAGCAAATATTTGTCTAACGTTAGCAATCACTTTTTAAAACAAAAGTTTTCATTTTACTTCCTTTTTTAAATTCTAAAACAAATAAATTGTACTGTGTTCCAAAATTTAAAAAAAATGTCCATTTACTCTTATGCATTTTTAAAACCTTTCTTTCTCAAGAGAACCTGAAATATTCTTGTTATATCCACCCATTTAATAAAAATAGTACGACAGTAAATAGTATTTATCACACGGCTCTGACAAGACAATGTTAACAGAAATTTTGAATGTTTCAAATTATATATTGAGATCAAAGAATACTTTCCTCTTTAGATAGTTATGATATCGTAACTACATCGTCCATATCATTTTTGGTGATCGTAAAGTATTAACATAATACAAAGTTCTTGAAAATAACACCGTTTTTGGCATCCATTCTATTATTATCCAAATGACAGAGTCGGTGGTTAGCTTGAAGTTTCCGCCCACTCAGACCATATTCCCCTTTGTTCTACAGAGATGATTCAACCAGAGCTCTCTATTGCTCTCGGAACTATTGCCAAGTTCGTGGCGCATTGCAACGACGAAGCGCTCGCATCTGCGCCTCTTCAGCGAAGGAATCCGATGAGGAAATCCGCCGACGAGGGCGTTACGTAGCACAGTGCCACCGAATCGGAGAGACGGGATCGAACAAAGACAAATTGCTTATAAAAACTGAATTAATTTAAATATCCGCCATGGTATTTATCCATTTCCTTTTTTATCCACTGAGCAAACACTAAGATGGCCCCTCAAAGATGGCCCCCCACTAAGATGTTTCTCGGTTCATTGCTTCTCGATGCCCACGTTTTGTTGAACTCTCCATTTGCTAGTTGTGGATGGAGAAGAACGGGGATTGTTTGTGTGAGGGTTGCTAATTTGTTAGCAAACATAAAATAAAATTTATAGTTACAATATTTGTAGATGAAAATTGTTTCGTATTGGAAAATTTTGTTTTTCATCTTGCCAGCCTCTCAGAGTACCTTTGTTGTTACTTTTAATCATAATGTAGGTATTAAAAGAGAGGGGAAGAGATCCTGGCGTAGAAAACTGCGAGAATTGTTTTTGTTCCCCATAAGGATCATACGGTTTGTACTGTTTTTTACGAAAATAAACAAAATAAAAAACGCATGGATTGAAAATAAAAAATAATTTTAAAAAATTAAAAAACAGCAAAAAAATAAAATAACAAATAGTAATTTCGAGTATATAATTTGAAATTGAACAAATGCACTCGATATTAAAATAATTAACAGATGATTACTTACAACATCTGAACATTTGAAGTTTGCAGTAAGTACAACATAAAAACAGAAGAAGCCATCCAAGAGTTATCAGGACAATAGAGTTCTTACATAGTTTCCTGTTCAATACCATATATTATCAGTTAGTTAGTCACATTTCACACGATGAATAGTTATATTTACGGAAAAGTTATAGTACATTGAAATTTTTATAAATGAATATAGCGTTGTTGAATATTTGTATGTATCAACGTCCAAAATCCGAAAATAAATAAAAATTCTTAACATTGTAGACAAACGCTTACTTATCGTATCCCACGCGAAGGGATCCACTCGCTACACCATAAAAATTACAATGATATTCCTTCTTCTAAGTCAATGCTTTTAGGGCTCAGATGAAACTTCGATACGCATGTCCAAGTTAACAATGATGCTCCAATCTCAGGCTCAAACAGTTAACAGGAAACATCCTTCAGTCTGTGCAGCGCCTCAGTTCCAAAGCATTTTAGTCCAATGCTTCGTTCTCGTATCTCGCACTCTGCTTTGGTTCTCCGATTTCGCGACGCACGGAGTAAAGGACGCTGCGGATTACTATCCGAAAAATGAATATTCAAAAGAGAGATGGGTACTGTGGTGTACTACAATTATGTATACTGCAAGTGAATGGGAATAGAATATTAGTTGTTCGGATAAAAAATGATGTAATGAAAGCTTAATAAAAGCTGATACGATGCCGATTAAAATTCTTTTACAACGTTACCTGC